AACAATTGCTCAGGGTACAGGGCATCCGCAGCGCTCCCCTCCCCCTCAAGCCACAATAAAACATTGTTGACCTTTGCAAAAAAAAAGAATTCTAATTTAGACAGAAAGATTTAGTAGTGGAACGTGGTGGCACATGCCTATAATCTCAGCTGCTCTGGAGGCTGAGACAAGAGTCTCTCAAATTCAAAGCCAGCCTCAGGAATGGTGAGGGACTAAGCAACTCAGTGAGACCCTGTCTCTAAATAAAATATAAAATAGGGCTGGGGATGTGGCTCTGTGGCTGAGTGCCCCTGATTTTAATCCCTGGTACTCATCCCCCTCCAATAAAAAGAAGGATATAGAAATCTGTAACTTCTTTTTGCAAGTCACCTTTGAATAGTTTTTGGTGCTAAAAATTAACCAATGTGCTAACATTTTTATATATTTCCTATTTCATTGTCTCTGAGATGCCATCACCTTTAAGACACTTAGAACATTCTTATTTTATTTACAACTCAGAAGAAAAATTGCCATGTGGTTACAACATGCCAATTTTAAGATTCCATCTATCTCAGATGCGCATCTTAAAAATCACTGAAATGCCTTAATTATAAACCACAGAATTGTATGGTAAATTATTTGTTTTTCTTCCAATTAACTCTTATGTCTCTCAAATGTAAAACTCCATAAAGGCATGCATGTTTTGTTCATTTGACAACATCTCCTCCATGCTTAGAAACTGGAACATTTTCAATATCTTTGTAACTCGTTATTTATTTAGTTTACTTAGGAATATGTAAATATGAAAAAAAAGTAATGATTTTTAACAGTACTGACCTCTTTTACTTTGGGACATTTTACTTGCTCGAAATTTTTAAAAAAGTAATTATTTTCAATGTGGCTGACTTCTCAGGTCAAAGAGATTCAATACATCTCTACACAATTGAAAATATATTCTCTTCCGAGAAATCTTTACTTACATGTTTGTTTCCACAGCACCTTTCAATAGTAATAAGCAATAAACACCTTACAAGGTTTTTAAAAAGTCAAAATAAACATCCTTTTTAGAATTAAACAAGTTGAAGAAATTTTTGTTACACTGTAGCTAGCTTGAGCTAAATGCTATTTTAATTTTTCTCTATCATAACTAGTAGTGTTTCAAATGAAAAGATAATTTGTAATGAGTCATACCATGAGGTCTAGTGTATGTACATCTATCTACATTTTCCAAATTTGCTAATATGAACGCCAGTAAGTAGAAAGGGTTATTTTAAAAGTGATTACAGCTGGGCATGGTGCTGCTTCCTTGTTAATCCCAATAATCTGAGAGGCTGAAGCAGGAGGATCCCAAGTTTGAGACTGCCATTTCAAGAAGGGGAGAAAGGGCTGGAACTCAGTGGTAGAGTGCCTCTGGGTTCAACCCCTAGGAAGTAACCCATCTCCCAAAGTGATGACATGAATGTATATTCTACTCAACTCAGAAATGCTATTGTACACACTGCTGTCACTTCTCAACTCTGTTCTCACATCAAACTGCTAAAATGATATTAGAGTTTAGATGTCAACATTTCCAATGTGAGTTCCCATTAAACACAAACACAACCTTACCTTCCAAGATTCTAGAATAATTGACAAAGTTATCACTATTACCGCTGTTGACCAGTGACGAGTCCTTGCTTCCCCAATGTTGAAGAATAACACCAGAGAAGCACGCAAAGCAAGGTCAGACTAGAAATTAGAAGTTTATTAAAGGACAGCAGAAAAGATTTCTCCCGGAGGAAGAAGGGGACCCAAGAGGTGGAATACGTGGAAGTGCCATTGTTTCCCCTTTTTATAGTTCTTTCAGTGATAGATCCTAGGTTGGAAGGCCTGAGGGGTGGGACATAGGTGAGCCAAAGAAGTAATCTGGGCAGGAAGGACTTCATTAACACTTCTTTGGGATGGGCTATCTTCAAATCTGCTGGGGCTGTTCATTAACATTTCTTTGGGATGGACTTTGGGCCTAGGGCTTTCCTGAGGACTTCATTAACATTCCATGAGTTGTCCTGCATTTCCCTTAATTCATTCTCAACATGGCCTCCATTTTAGATCTTACTCGATATTAGACCCGATTTACCTAACAACACTGAGTACCTAATTTTAAATCTGGCTTCATCACTAACCAAGATCATGGCCTTTTTTATATGGCAGACACATCAGAAAAAATAATTTTCCCAGAAAGAAGTTGTTTGTCATCTCTTTCTTGTTAAATAGAGTAGATAATGGATATGTTTGTACATTGCTGGTGGGACTGAAAATTGGTGCGGCCAATATGGAAATCAGTATGGAGATTCCTGGGAAAGTTGGGAATGGAACCACCATTTGACTCAGCTATTGCCCTTCTCATACTATTCCCTGAAGACCTTAAAAGAGCATACTACAGGGATACTGCCACATCGATGTTCATAGCAGCACAATTCACAATAGCTAGACTGTTGAACCAACCCCGATGCCCCTCAATAGATGAATGGATTAAAAAAAATGTGGCATTTATACACAATGGAGTACTACGAAGCACTAAGAAATGACAAAA